CTCTTTACACGCGCCCTTGCCTTTGCAAACCCCTTTGTAGAATCCTCTTGGGTCTGTGGATACGATGACACCCTTGCCATCTTCGTAGGCCGTGTGCTACTCTCCGGTTCTTCCATCGTTGGTTTGATCTTCGTCTTTCTCTGCGTGAACGGGCATTTCGTTGGCCAGGACTACATCACGGAGCGAGTCGCACGATTCCTTGGGATAGACCTCGCTGCCTTAGACCCCGATGGGACTGGCGAAGAAGGCGGAATGTTTCGCTTTGACGTCTTCGGCGCCGCATTGCCGACCTTGTTCGGAGTCTGGTGGGATCCGTGGAACATTGACGCTTACTTGGTGCGAGAGCGAGCGCACGTGTACTCCATGGAGCTTCGTGATCCTCAGGCCTGCAAGGTGTGCGATAAGATCCATGTGAAGTATGAGCTGATGATGACAGCGACAGGACGCACCGTTAGTGCAGCTGTCCAGATCGTTCCATATGGAGCTGTCGTGGCCAAAGCGTGCGAGTATCTGAATGACCCACCTTTGATCTACATTGGGAATAAGATGTCATGTTTGAAGATCCGCAAGCTGGAACGATATGCTGCACGCGGCTCCAAGAACCTGATCATCAAAGGGTATTTGCTCCTGGCGGAGGCGCTGGCATACTCCATTGAGTATGGTGTTCCCCTATTGCGCCGCGTGACCAGCGTCGCGACTTTGGTGTATCTGATGCTGGGGACCTTCACCCTCACAGAGCAGAACTTGGTTGACCAGGGCACCAGGGTGATTTTGGCAGGTTTCACCCTGTCTTTCGTGAAGGCGTCCCTGGAGAAGCTGGTGCCGTCAGCGCTGAGTTATGGCCTCGGCGGTGTCTACTTCGCCCTGAGCCGAGCCGAAGGGGTCGTGACCCGTGAACACGAGGTACCACGAACGATCACAGGGCAAATGCTATCTGGAGCTGCGGCGTCAACACTGATTGCTGGAAGCGTTCTTGCCGCCGGCTGGGGCTCAGCAGCCGATGCGGTGATTCTGGGCTCTTGTGTTGGGTATGTCTTCAGTCTCTTGACGTTGTTGGTCAACGTCATCTTGGAGCGACCATCTCCAGATATCGATGACCCACCCTCAAGAAGCATGTTTCAGCTGCTCGCGAAGCTGCTGTACTCCCTGATCTCGGGTGGAGCGCTTGGAGTTGTCGCAATCTACGCGGGCGAGGCTGGATTAGCGGCCGAAGCCGGGGTGGAGGACGCCTACGAGTTCCAGAACAGCTTGGGAAGCCGCTGGGGCTTTCGCGGAAGCGTGGGGCTTGGCGTCTTTGCTGTTGCGATACAACTCATCACTTTCCGACTGGTCCTAGTCGAGAACCTGCCTCCCGTTATCAAGCAGAGTGTAGATCCGCCGTATAATTGGAGAGACTCTCCTACATGGATAGTTCTCAGGACGATTCAGTTCTTTCCCGGCCTTACTGCTATCCCGACGTGCACTTTGGTGTCAGTTGTGCTGCGCGGCTTTCTTCAGTCTGACCTCCCTTCATTGACCGCCATCGAAAATCAGTTTGTGGTGACTGGATCAGGGATTGTTCTGGCCAATGTGTCTGCGTTGACGGTGCACAGGTTGCTCGGTAGCCCTCCCCAACTTCTAGGCTTCTTTTCCTGCATCCTGGCTGCTTGCCTTCTGTGTCCTTGGAATATGCTCTTCGGTGCCTTCACTGCAGTATGGATCGGTGTGGCTGTTGGGAGTATTCTGGAAGAGGTGGTCTTACGCCGGGCTCTGCAGAAGGAGATCAGAAGACGAGAGGCGATGGGCGAAGATGACATGGAGTTCTTCGATCAGAAACGTGCAGCTTGTATGGAAGAGTGGGCGCAGTTTGAAGAAGAGGAGCTGCCGCCAGCACCTCCCGAACCCGACCGTCAGGACAAGCTGAACATGTATCTACAAATTGCTGCTGCAGGTGGAAGTGCCATTGAATACGTGAAGGAGGTCGCAGCGGCCCAAGAGCAAGAAGCTTTGGACCCCGATGCGTCTGATGCCGATCTAGCAGAGCTCGACCGTCCTGGGAGCCATGACAGCAACCTCCTGCAGATAGAAGAGCGGTCAATCTCAGGTCAGGGGTTGAAACGAGCGTATTCCTTTTGTCTGGCATAGGGCACTGGGCTTGGGGCACATGGGTCCTGTGTGTTGCATTGGGAGGTCGAGGAACTACGAAGGGCTCTGAGGCGCTCCCGGTATGGGATGCAACGTCAACACCGATGTTGGTGGAAGACGAAGAGTCTGTTCATCAGGCCGTAGACAGTCGTCAGAATTTTTCGGAAACATGTTCTGGCATGTACCCGATAGGCTTTCTCCAAGGGTCAAGAGATGTCGGGGGAGGAGGCAGCGGAACCAAATTTTCGGCAGTTCTAGCACTATGAATATACATTACATCCAGAGTTCCGCAGGCTCATCATGCTGATGGGGATTCGGCCGCCATGCATGCTCTTCGAAACGTGGAAGACGCCACGCCCTCTGTCAGGGTTGAGTTGCCTTAGCCCCCAGTCGGCATGTTCAGATTCCTGGTTTGCAAGGCAGAGCAGCCGGACTTGCCGGACACAAGCATGCCAGAGCCACTTGAAGAGAGCGGAGGGCTCAAACACCTCTCTGACCGTAGCTCGACTTTGTTGCGCAGTAATGGCAGGTGCCCTCGAGCGCGACCGTGTCCAGGACAGCATCATGGATGCGGCAGGCCTGGTTGTCACGTCTTCCCAGCTTGCAATTCCTTTCGGTTGCAGAGAGCGTAGATGCCCGGGATATGACAATGCGTGACCAGGTTCGAAGGAAGAGATGCAGCCGCCGCGAGGCTGTGTCGGTTTCACTGCCTGAATTCGAAGTGCAGCCGGTGGTTGTTCAATGTTAGATGTCTTTCAAAGCCCTGTCAAGCCTCGTTTTCGAGGTGATGAAGTCGGCGCGGTTGCGTCTGAGGAGGATCAGGCCTCTGAGCTGCCAATGCAGCTGGCATTGACCAGGCTCTCGATTGAACATTCCACAATTTGACAATCTACTATACCCATTTTTCTTGTTCTTGTTGCTGTTGTTGTTGATGTCGCTGTTGTTAAGGTTTCGTTCCAGACTTGTTGAGCTGAGCACGAGTTCATGAACCCCTGAGTCCTGGATTGCAACGCTCGCATCGTGACTTCTCGACGCCACAACCGTCCAGCCGAGCCCGCACTGTGATGCTCGAGGACAGACAAGTTCTCTCAAGCTTCTGTGTGAGCTCAGAGAGCGACTTAAATATCACAGGAAACCCTACACCCTACACCCTAAACCCCTAAACCCCTAAACCCTTAAACATCACAGGACGGCTTTGATTTCAGCCGAGAGATGGTCGATACTGATGAGATACTTACAGCGAGTCGCGGCCCTTCAAAGGCAACATCCATGAGTCTCGGCTGTGTCCTAAAGTCTGCATCACCACAGCCACACCAGGCTAATGTGGAGATTCATTGTGGCCTTGTGACTGCTGAGGAGATCGGTCACGACGATATCCACGCAGCCGAGACCACAACCAAAGAGTGCAGCCCTGCACCGAGGATTAGGTGTCACACACACTCGCCCGAGTTTCATTGCAACTGAACAATGCTTACGTAAGCGGTGACTTAGAGTGTTAATGGAGCCTTCAATCTTTCAGGCTCCGACTTCTCCAGTTGGCATGGACATCAACCCAGGCCTCAGAAGCCGCAGCCCTATTGTGCTGTTGTGACATTCTGTAGTTTCAGACTGCTTCAGATCTTCCAACAAGTCTGAGGCATGCGTCCTCCGCAACAAGACCTTTGGACGAGGACCCACGGCCCGCGACCGCCACCAACTTCGCCGTCCTTGTTTCTAGGACGCATTGCTTAGGCGGATTGTTATCCACGGCAGAAGTGACAAGAGCGTGTTGGAAATGCCTGGGCTTCATGCGCAGTTGGAGCTGTAAGGAGAGACATGGCGCACCAGGCGCAGTCCAGCTACCAGTCAAAGGCAGCTATGGCACGCAGGCTTGTTGCGAGTTTTAAGGCCCCTCTCTTTGGGGAGCTCTGCTCTCGGCTTTAAACTCTTGCAGGTCCCCGAAAAAGTGAGGGCCGACGTGAGGGGATGTGATTTCTTCTCTATATTGGGCAGCTGGCACAAGAGTTGGTGAGTTATTTTTTGTACCGAGCATTTGCGCGAAGCGAAGGGTGAAGATGGCTCGTGCGATCTTGAGCCAAAAATGCCGCATGCTGCCCTTAACGAAATTCCAAGCCCGTGTTGAGGCAGTTCTAGCATGTATTCTTAGCTCGCGTGTCTCAAAAGTGATACGAAATTCGACTGTGAAAGTCACTGCAGCAGAAGATGCTCTCTGCAGCCAGCAGTTGAGCCTAGATGGGCTCAAGTGCTACCAGCTGCTTCCGTTTGATAACGTATCCGTCGGCTATCACCGGCATTTTCCATTGCACATGCAATGCAGATGTGAAACATGTAGCATGCATGTAGCATGAGTAGGCGTCTCACACACTAACCTGTGTCACGTCATGCATGTCCCGCAAGAATTGCCCGTTGGACGCCGTCCTGTGCACTTTGCTGCAATCTGCGCCCTCTGACACTTCGCGCTATGCTTGGGCTATCTTGGGCGAACTTGCCCCTTTTGCTAGGAGTGGAGGCTCAAGCTTAAACAGTGCGTCCAAAGCTGGCGCTACACTTCCTGACATCGTTTATTTGGTGGCATGGGCTGTTGCAATGCCTCATGTTGCCAGTTTTCTTCTATGCCAGACTCCGAAGAGCCAAAATCTCAGCATATCTCGGATACCGTCCACGGCAAAACCGCCAACGTGGGGAGAGCGACGGTGTGCGCGAGAGTCCTTTTGGGGTGCCCTGGGCGGGTTGAGACATGCAGCTTGTCAAGGTCTGACTCCTCCTCGAGTACAGCATCGGGCCTCAGCCTCGGGACCTCTCTGACTCGGGCCATGCCATGCATCTGTCACCATGGAGGCCTCCTGAACATCAATGAAGCCACTGTTGAAGATCTCATGGCATTGCCGGGAATCGGAAGGATCCCGGCGAAGCCTGCGATTTGGCATCTGTTCCTTGCTGTACCCCATCCTGGTGTTCAATCCACGGCAGTAACAGGAGAAAGGCGGAGAGCATTGCAGGGGACCTTAGATGCAGTGATCCATGGCAGCTTCTTCTTAGCAAGCAAAGCTTGAGAGGCAGGGCGGAGTGATCCAAGCTCCAGCGCTCAGGTGGCCTACCGAGACGAAAATGGGAGGTTCGAGTCACTCGAAGATTTGCAGGCTGTACCCGGCCTCGGAGCCGGTCTCAGCTGAAGAAAGCAACCGGCAGTTGACCTTTCCTCAGAGGGTTCTCTCCCCACCAGGTCGCCGTGGCCTTGAAAAGCTTGTTGACATGATCACTCTGGACGAGTCAGGCGGGAGACTGCGCAACTTCCTTTCAGGCTTTGCCTTGTGAGCCTCGAGGTGATCAACCCGGCTGTCTGGCCTCCTACTACGCAGGCTCCAGGGAGCATGGCATAAAGTGCAGGGTTTGCACGAGGGCGGCGTTTCAAAAAGACGTCGACAGGTAGTGCTAACGTCTTCATCAAAAGCGTTCGCAGCCACAGGCAGTCAATCAATCAATCAATCAATCAATCAATCAGCAGCGTTCGGCGCGGCCTTTCGAGAGCAAGCTGGAACTCCGAATCTGGGAGAGTTTGCTAGTACAACGAATTGTTGATTGTCAATTTTGGCCTGCTAGGTTAAACAGCTGCCGGCAGCCATCCTTGTGTTGACATTGCAGGAAGTCTGGCATGCGGCTGCTGCTGCTCCTGCTTCACGTGCATGCGAGGCACCTGCATCGGTGGGTGGTGAAGTCGGCTGTCAAAGGAAGGCCGTGTGCGACTTTTCTTCTTTTGGCTCCGAGCTGGAGCCGTGGAGCGATTTCGTATTACGTGTGCTGTTTGTGGACACAACGTTTTGGGAAACTCAGCGAGAGCAGATCGCAACCGACTACGCAGAAAGCCGCTAAAGTAAGCAGCCATGTGTTTGAAAAATCGTGTTTCGAGTTCTTTTGACAGATTTGCGTGCGACACCGCCATGGCTACGCCATTGCAGCGTCTGAGCAGCACGTACCTAGTCGAGCAGGCCTGGTGTTCTGCTGTGCGGGCACGTGCCGGCGTGACTCTTTGTGTAGCCTTGCAGACTTCGAGCGGATTGTTTTTTCAGGCCGTGCTTGGTGAGCAGTCCAAAGTGGTTTGCCTGCGATTCGGGCAAGACTTTTCGCCCGAGTGCATGAAGATGGACGAGGTGCAACTTGTTCCATGCGGGTCTCGAACCTAGAATCCCGACAATCTGGCAGGTGTTGTCATCTGCGGCGCAGGCGGTGGAACCCGGTTGCAGCATCTACGAAGCTCGTTTGCATGAGAGCTTTTCTGTATCTGTATGTCCCAGTCTGTCGCCACAGAGCACCGCCGAGGCCGTAGATGTTCGTGAGGTGCCAGAGTGCGTCTCAGAGTTTCAGTTGACACAGCCCGCCCAGCTGCAGCCTGGCCTTGAAGCTCTGAGATCCCATGTACTGTGCCATGCCATGTCCATTCTGTTTTTTCCGATTTCGAGCTCTTGCGACCGGCCCTGCCTCGAACTTCAGGATCTTCTTCTTCAGAGGGAAGCCTCTGGAGCTGGATCTTGGAGCGGGTCCACAGAAGAAGGTGGAGTTTACGCTCAGTAGCCGGCAGGACTGGGAGCGCAAAAAAAGAGGCCTTTCCAGCAAGGCCCACTCAACCCTAAACCCTAAACCCTAAACCCTAAACCCTAAAGCCTAAGCCACTCGGACACTGGGACTTGCCAGGAGTTCCTGGACCTTGCTGAGGCAGTATGTCGTGGTGCACAGCAAGGCATGCAGCTCATCATGGCACCTCGGGAGCTTTGACCGGCAGAAAGGGAGGAAGTCTTAGTCTTAGTCTTAGCTCAGTCTGATTCTTGCTGGTCTGTCTCCAAGGACTATTCCATGCAGTTTCGCTACTGACGCGGTGGAAAGACTACTCTCTGCACCGGAAAAAGACTTCGCCGATGCGCAGACGAGCCTTTTTCCTGAGCAGGCCGTTGCAAAGACCTTGACAGGCTGTTGGCCTTCCATGGACCTGGGCAGCCATGACGAGGTTGGAGTACCTGTCGACGTCCCCTGTTAAAAGCTTGCATCAAGCCCTCCTAGTCCTAGCTGCGGAGTCGCAGAGAGGCTCTTTTCTTCCCCGACGACAGCACTGGATCACGCATCTTTCCCGGCATGAAGGATCTAGAACATGCTTTGCGAGCTGGGGTGCGGGAGAGCCGGCGTTCGTGAAAAGAGCAGGTTTGGACCGGCTACTAGATGTGCTTGCGTCGGCTCGTCGCAGCTTGGACGTTGCGGCCAGGGTCTGAAATCTTGCGTGTTTTGCATGCTGCCGGGGCTCTTCAAGCGAGGTCTTCAGCATAAGCCACAAGCGTCTGGCGGACGCACTCGTGCAAGCACACAGGCAAGATGTCGAGTCGTGTTACAGGGGGGGCTTGAGGGCATGTGCTACAGCGTGTGTTGTGGAGAGATGCGGAGAGGCGCCGTCTCTAAACACACCCGAGAGCCTCTGCGCAGTGGTCTCGGCCAGGCGTGGTGTCCGAGTACGAATTCTATCAGATGACATGCAGGCATGGCCAAGCCGCCTTTCCTGGCATGTCTTGGGAAGCTTGCCGGAGCCAGGCCAGGCAGCAAAACTCAGCGGTCCCGGAATTGAGAAGAGCTGGCCTCCAGCTGCGTGGCGAGCCTCAGACTTTTGCCAAACAGACTGTTCTCCATGGTCTCCTCCTTGAGCAAGGCCTTGATGCCAGTGAGAAATTCCACATGCATCACAAGCCGCGGTGCTGAGTACTCGTTCAGTTCTCGAAAGCCAGCGAAGGCGAGGAAAAGGAAGAGCAGATTGCAAGTCTTATGCCGTTGAGGTTTGTGGTTGTTGACGGTGCTACTCTCATCTCCGGGTCCCTCAACTGGACGCATGCCGCAGTTGAGCGTGGTGCTGGGGCAGCACATGGTCACCTGTGACAGCAAGATGCCGCCATCATGGAGACACTGGCCTCCCAACGGATAGCTAAGGCAATGAGAATGCGACGATATGCAGGTGGAACCGGGCCGGACTTTGGAGACATGCAGGGATGCTTGGACGCTTGCCTGGCCAGGCGCGCAGCATTGTGTAACCGCTTCGCGCTGGAGCCGGAGCCTTCTGTTTTTCCGAGCTTTCACCGCCTAGTCTTGTTTTGGCCGTGCCTTGAGGTTTGAACGAGTGTGGGCTGCATTCCAGACTGGCACCGTCGCACAAGCTCCGCCGGCTGAATTCGACGGCAATGCGCGGTTCTGAGCCGTTCTCATCCATGACAGTGCGCAGCCCTGCCTGAACAATACAAGGTTGCAGCGCTCTTCTTTCCGGAGCCTCAGATGAAGAATGTGCAACCCTTACACGTGCACATGCAAAAAGCGGACAGCTGGAGACGATTTAGTTTCGTAGACGGTCCTGTAATTCATAGTATGCTGTTTTCATCTGCAGCTGGGATCTGGTATATGTCCTGTTGCTACCGGTGTGACGTGCGTTCTTGTTGCAAATTCTGTGTGTGTGACAGTCTCCTTCCATGACCGCCGAGGTGGGTATGATCCTGACCGAGCTGCAGGGTGCTCGCTCAAGCATTGAACTGGCTGCTTGTGCCTCGGGCAATCTCGGCTGTCGTCGAACATCGGGTGGTTCGGTGCATGTCTGCAGATCTTCACGCTGACCTTGGACATGTTGGTTGACGCGGTGATTCAGAAGCACAATGCAGGCCTGGCAGCGCAGCGGAAAGTTTATGCAGCAAAGCTGAAGCTTTTGCTTCAACAGCTTGTGTTAGAGACCCACGGAGAATGCAGGTCTTCGTGTCCGGATCATTACAGACAATCGGCAGGCATGACCTCACAGATCCGGCTGCTAACGTTCCGTGTGACACCTGTAGAGGCAGCAGTCCCTGGTGCTGATGCCCAGAGACTCTGCGAGCGAGGAGTGGAAGTCCGTACAGACAAGCCATGGCCCCGGAGTAAGGGAGTGCATTCGTGCATTCTGGGCAAAGTTGGAGTGTGTACTGTCAGCAAGGAAGGGTGCACTTAGGGATTTCGGAGAGTTTTTTGGATGATTCCGGGCTCGGTGGTTTCATACTTCAGGGTTTGGGACTAAGCCGATCAAGGTCATCACTCGTTGTTGCCGTTGGGTTAAATATTCTCTTGAGGTTGGAGCCTTGGCAACACCTTGCTAGGCTGACTTTCTTTAGTTTGTCAGGTTGACATCGCAATGCCCCCATTGCCTGTCGATACGTCCAGCTACAATCTCCGTGTGTCTGCAACATGAGGGCCATAGATAAAAAGCCGGCATCTTGCGCGATGCCAAATCTGCTATGTGATACCCATCTCAGACTCACATGTGCACTTGTCATTGCTGACATTGTGCACTTGTGACCCCCATGCTCATTCCTGGCATTGAATTGGGCTTATTCTTCAGGGGTGCTGGATCCTCAGTCTGGCCCGCAGCTTGCTTGTGCTCGGACTCTGTTCGGTCAGGTTCGATCCGTCTCCAGCCGTTTGTCTTTGTCTCGACTGCACAGCTGCTGACGACCGTATGCTTAGCGCTGTAGTCTGGATTGGGGGTAATAGTCAGAATGATGGAAACAAGAGTTGTCATGCTGGTTCAGGCTCGAGCTCAAACCTCGCCGTGTTTTTTGGGTTGCGCTCTTTTGGACAGAGCGGGCCGGTCATTCGTAGCTCCGGAGCGCCCATCCTCCGAGCACCTCTTGCAGTTTCTGCAGTACACATGGATACGCTTCTGTAATACGCAGGGATACGTGAATCATAAGCGAACACGTCGCACAAAGCTTGGGATTCCGAAGTTAGCTGACAAAAACCAGACTTCGCTTCAAGTGACATGTCCGGTCTATGATAAAAAACCATCGTCATAATAACTCGAGCAATCTAACACTAACAGTAAAGGCAGTAAAGGTACTATAGTAGTGATAGTGCTACTATTATCAATCTCTGCTTGTTCTGATGAGCTAGAGACACCGTTGTCCAGGTCATGGTATGCCATGCATCACAAGTTCGACACTTGCCTGCATTGATTGAGTTAGTATTGCGTTATTGCCACCTGGTGTCAAGCGAGTTCACCGAGTTCATTCGTAGTCTGTTTCAGTTGGTTTTCGGAGGCCGTGATTGACAAGCAAACTGTGATCAATGGCTCCTTCAATTGGACGGCGCAGGCCCTGCATTTCATTGCTGGGAGAGCGTGCTCTTGTGCTCGGCTGATCTGCAGGCAACCAAAGGAAACCAAGAGGATGCCATAATCTTCCGTGCCTCGGTTTGGACTGATTCTTAGGACCTTGGCGTTCTGTGCTTTGACTCTGCTTTGCGTAGCCTTTTCAACCCGGCCGCCCCGGCAGGTGGTGAGAAGAGGTTGGTGCGGACTCCCAGACTCTTCTATAGTAATAATAGTAATAATAGTAATAATAGTAATAATAGTAATAATAGTAATAACAGTAATAATAGTAATAATAGTAATAATAGTAATAATAGTAATAATTGTAATAATTGTAATAATTGTAATAATAGTAATAATAATATTAAAAGTGATAATAGTGGTGCCGTTGCGAAGGAGCTCCGGGTTCTGTGCTTGTCGCTGAGGCCACAGCTTTCGTCACTGAGTTTGACCGAATGTGGGAATCCTTTAAGCCGCTTGGCGCTTGACAGCGAGTAGCGCGCGATGTCTGGCCAAAGAAGCTAGGCAGCTAGACAATCTGCACACGTCACAAAGCGGATGTGTGAGGCTGACATCAACCCCCGCATAGCGAAATGTTCGTGATGAACTTGTTTCGGGAAGACGGCCAACATGAATCGTTTTGACAGCAGTGTGTACGGCGTCTGTCAAAGACAGGACCTCTGAACTGGAGCTTGACAGCCTTCACGTCTTGTATCCCGAACATGGCTTTGGCTCAAGTAATTTTTCCGGACTGCAAGGTGGCCGAACGCATCTCCTGCAAGGCGAGTCCATGCAGAATTTCTGAGTGCTCTCGCGCATGCGAGATCTGTGGCATTCGTGAGGCCCGCAGTGCCAGAAAGGTTCCCTGCAGGCTTCCGGCGAGAGTCGGCGAGAGAGGGCTGAAGGGTTTCGTGAATCGGCACTGAGCGCTTGCCTTTCTTCACAACTCTCGTAGCACTTCGATAGGCACGGCAGACCGTGCGGCAGTGGAAGACCGGGCGAGACATGCGCCTCAAGGCAACTACATCTGTTGTCGTGGCGATCAGTGCGATGCTTTGTCGGTGCGACGGCATTGTTTCCAGGCATGGTTGTCTCTATTATTGGCACCTGCAAGAGGCACCATGCTGACACTGCTTGTGCCCATGGGCCTTCGCAGCTTCCCTCCTCAGGACAGTTCCAGTTCGAAATTCCTCCGGAAATGCTGCAAGGGATGATGGGAGGAGGCGCTGTGTTACAGTAGGTAATCCTTGTCGTAGCAAAATAATCGTAATACTAGTTATAGTAGCAATGGTTATAATAACCTCGCAGAGCGCAGAGACAGCGATGCCGAACTTCCTTGTCTGGCCTTCTTTCAGCAAGGTGGAATGATGGGAGGCGGTGGTGGCAGAAAAGGCGCTGAGTGGCCAAAGACGGAGAATTCGGAAATATCAGTGCCAAGCCAAGCTGCTGTTCATGCGCTCCTCTGTAGTCATGTATTCCTCAAACGAAGATCCGTGCTCAGGCTGAGTTTGAGTTCTCGGCTCAGCCTGAGCATCAGCGTAATGCAGCGACTCTACTGTCTAGTCTCCTTTGATTCGTCGGCAAGTCCCTGGCGATGATGAGGTGGCTGGTGAACACCGAATGGGAGTCTTGGCCGGCAATCGTCAGACCCTGCTTTCTAAAATCAGCGGGCAGAGGGCCCCCCGCGGTAGCGTGCAAGGAGGGCAAGACCTCCAAGTACCTTCTCCTGAAAGACGGCTTCGTCGAGTCACCATTGAAGGAGGGATCTCTTTCATTTCTTTGCTTCCAGCGCTTTGTCATCGATACTCTCTGGAAGGAGTGCGAGCCAGAAGGCCATTGTTTGTGGGCCGCCAACAATGGCAAAGTTCTTATCAACACGCCCAAACTTAAGGTGCCGTGCTAAGGCCGCAATGCCTGCTGCAGGAGATCATGGGTTTTTTCCGTCGATGAGATGTATGCTGAGGTTGTGAAATTCTCCGTGGAGGGTCTCGAGGGCATAGACAGGAAGAAGCTCGAGAACAAGGACGTGCAAGAATTTGCCGCCTGAGGCGACAAGACTTCGCATGTCACCAGTCTGGGGAAGGACGAAGCTGAACTGAAGAAGGTTTCTTTGGTCATGGAGAAGCCTAGCGCTTTGCCTGCACTAGGTTAGGTAGGTCCTTGGGACGGTTGCCGTGTGGAAATTGGAACGTTTCTCGTAGCTGACATGTGCGAGGCAAGAGCACCGGCAAGAAAGGCGCCAGCATACTGTAAATCCTACATCGATCGTACCCCCGGTCTCTTGGTGGCTCCCTTTGCAGGCAAGCTCGATTTCAAGCGTCTAGCCATGGCGGACGAACAAGACAGCATGGGAGACCTGTCCTGGAAGATTAAGACTCTTTCCGCATCTCTTCGTTCGCGTAGGAAGACGGCCCGTGGCAGCAGTTTCCAGGAGCAGACCTGTACAAGCTCTTAGACATTACGGAGGATGCAGACCAAGCCGCGGTCAAGAGCAGCTGTGCTGCAGCTCCACTATACCACCGTCTGTTGTGACTCCTGGCTTGGTTGGCAAGGCAAGTTCCGACGACTGTCGATATCAATGCATCCTGACAAAGGCTGACCGGTGGTTTCTGGTGCCGCGCGTAGAACACGAGCCGTTGCAAGCACAGGCGGTGATCCAAAAGCTTTCAACGAGATGAGAGAGGCTTATGAGGCCTTTGGAGACGAGGGTCGTCACCTGCTGCCTCTGAATCATGGAGTCCTGCCGCACAGGTTCTTGGAGATCCAGAGAAGCGAAGGTCGCTCACCTTGAAGTCGTGCGACATGCTTCCCCTACCTTCCCCTGATGATGCCTTGAGCAGCTCACTGTGCTGGGAGTTTTTGAGGCAGTACAACCTCGGTGGCTCGGCTGCAGCGTGGTCAGCAGCAGCAAGATTCATAGCCTCACCATGGATTTTGTGGCCAGGCGGTATGCAGCTCGTCAAGAACGTTGAGATAGCTTGGAAGGAGGTGGAGGGGCAGAAAGCACAGATGGCGACGCAGCTGCATCTGTTGCATCTGCTTGCATTGACTTGACAGCACTTTCACATGGCACGTGGATACTGTGGCAAGGATGCGCAGCTCAATCAGGCACATCTTTGGGCTGACAGTGCAGATTAGCTGTCAGCAGTCTCTTCCAGTCGAAGCGTTCTTGGCAGAAAGTAAGGGTTCAGCTGCACAAATTATGGACAGAAACCTGTGTCAAGCCGAGGAGAAGCTAGTAATACTTGTGCTAGTTCCACAGCCTCGGCACACCTCACAGGGTAGATGGCCTCCTGGCGTTGAGCAGGGCGTCATCACAGCACGACTCGTCACAGGTTCCAAAGAATCACCCGCAGTATGCCATGTTGTCGCCCCAGCTACGGGAGCAATCAAGTATGCTGATGGAAGCTGCATGGTGTCTGCAAGGTTCAAGCAGCAGATCGAGCAGCAGAAGCGACAATTTGACAAGGCATCCTCCTTAGCCTGCTCACACCTGCAAGTCTTGTCAGCAAACAATCAGGCGAAAGTCGAGTCACAGATCCAACAGAAGCTGCAAAGCGACGAGCTCGAGGTGCCCTGGAGTGGAGAGGTAGAGTCTCGCCGTCGCAACAATCCGAGTTGCAAGGTAATGGTGCCCATTTCAGCTTCTGAGCTCTACAATGGCGTAGAGAAAAAGGTCTTCGTCTTCCCTAGGCCGCCTTGAGCGAGGGCTGGGCGGGGGGTAAGCAGCCGCAGCTGACGCGTTTCAGTTAGGACCCCCCTAGCCCACATTGGGCTATAGGCACCACTAGCCGCACCCCATGTAACATCCCCTATCCCACCCTAAACATATTCCTATTACCCCGACCTAGGTGCCATAGCCCAAAGGGGGCGAGGGGTTCCTTATAGAAATTGGGTTCAGGGTTTAGGGTTAAGGGGGGCTAGCGATGCCTATAGCCCAAAGTGGGCGAGGAACTGTTTCCGTGTCGCCAGGCTCATGATATGTCGTGGTTGCAAAGAAGACCCCGGCAGGCCGCAGGGTGCAGAGAAACTCAGAGCGTTTCCATGATTCAGAGACGGCACGTCGGGGGAGCGTGCTTGGCAAGGCCTGAGTGCCAGGACTGCGGTCGCTGTCCGCCGGAGAAGGTACAGTTCTTGGCCCTCTTGGCCGAGTTCTGGCCCCTGGCTTTCGCTTCGGTTTTCTCCTTGGGCAGGTCCAGGTGCCCAAATATGGCATGACGCCCTTCGGACGTCAGGCAGGTGCAGGGTGGCGTTTTTTTGGTGCGCGTGATGAGCCCGCTTTTTTATCTTCTTTTGTCAGGTGGTTGGAATGAGAGAGAAGGAGCAGGAAAGTCGAGAGAGGTGTCGAGAAGTTGGCGTCGAGGCACCTCATCCTAAACCCTAAACCCTAAACCCTAAACCCAAAAGCCCCAAAATCTCCAAATCCCAAAAACCCCTAAACCCCAAACCCTCTGCCAAAGCCGAGGTGCCGCTGAGAGTGAGCAAGGGGGCCAAGCAGGGCGCTTCTTTGAAGGTGCCCGGAAAAGAGTTTTGGAGGTTTTTGGATCGGGTTTTGGGAGAGGTTTGGGGTTTTTGGCTTCGGGTTTTGGATTTCGGGCTTTTGGTGTCGGGTTTCGGAGGTTTCGGGTTTTTGGTGTCGGGTTTCGGAGGTTTCGGGTTTTTGGTGTCGGGTTTTGGAGGTTTCGGGTTTTTGGTGGCGGGTTTTGGAGGTTTGGGGTTTTGGGTTTAAGTGCTTGTGTTTGCTCAGCCTTTCTCCTTGTCAGGTCCTGTCGAATGTTGGCCACCAAACGCCAGGAAAGTTTCCCGGCAAGGCGAGCTGGCTGGATTTCGGCAGTTCTGCACAATCGCACATCTAAGTCGATGCATGAAGAGACAGGTTTCAGGTAGGTCTTTGTTTAGTAGGAATGTCGGTCTCTCTGCTTCCCTTATCTTTAGATGTGTCTGCGTGTGCATCGCTGATTCGCTGCTTGCGCAGGTGAACTTCAAGGTGCAGCGAGGTAAGCTGTTGCCATACTGTCTCTAGCGCATCCCAGCAGTTCCCGTCACGTGACCTAAATTGTTGCCAGGCAGCAAGGAGGATAATTTCAGAATTGCAGAGTCAGACTTGCACACGGCCACTACCTCAGTTGCCTCTTTAGTCTTGCGGTGATGGAACGTTCTCAAGCGCTCCATGCAAGGTGCTCCATGTCTCATTGGAGCAAGCCTTGTTCGGATTTACGTTGCTTGGATGTGATGCTGTCTTCAGCGTTGCCGCGTTGCCGGCAAAAAGCCCCAAGGATTTCTTGGCAACATCTTGGAGAAGAGACGGTCCACTGGCCTTTAATTCGACGGTACCGATGGAAACAGATTCTGCTGCAGCTCAACAACGGTTTGGCCAAGGTAACCATCACCAAGGAGCGTCTGCAGCAGCCAGACGAGGCGCAGAACGTAGGCTTCCCACGTGGCATTGCGGAATCCATGGCATTGTCAGGTGCTCCGACTCAAGGGCAAGGGCCTTGTCGAGTCGGGAAGCAAGCGAGGTGACCTGTACGTGCGGAGCACAGTGCACGTCATGTCTTGTGCATGCGCCGGCTCGCGCGATGTCCCAGCCCAGGTGCGACTCGCAGTCGATCTCCCGCAAGCGCCGCAGGGGGAGAAGGCGGTCATCGAAAAATCGGCTTTTCGCCTTGGCACTGGGCTGCCAACAGGCCCTCACCCTTCGAGCTCCTGGTTCAGGAGTGCAGGCGCAAACAGCAACAAGAGGAGAGATTGAAGCAAGAGCCATGTTTTTTGCTGCAAGGCTGCAAAGCTGGAAATGGAGGATGAAGTTCGAATAGAAGAAGGCCACGACTGCCTCCAGTATTGTGAGAAGCTTTCCCCACAGAAAACTACGCCCTTATTCATGCATCCACAAGACATCCCTGTCCACCATGCGATCTTCTTCTTGTCTTCCAGCTTGTGGGCTTGATCGTTTAGCTGTCGATGGTCCTGTGTATCCCCTAAACCCTAAACCCCTAAACCCTAAACCCTAAACCCTAAACCCTAAACCCGAAACCCTAAACCCTAAACCCTAAACCCTATCTGCTGTTACAGGAAGTGCTTGGCGAGAGTGGATCGGCCGAGAAAAGGCGAGCACCTACAAGGCCTCATTCTAAGGACTTTTTCGAGGGACCCCTAATAGGGGCCCTCAATCCCATTACCTTAAATAACCATTCTATAGTCCTTATAACCTACAAGGGTCCCTGTTAAGGGTCCCTCCCAAAGCCCATTAGAGTCATGCCCCTTTCGGCTTTGTCGAAGTCTGCAGACGGCAGCTTCCGAGGTGGGGAAAGCCAAAACAGAACTGTAAGGAAGCGGAAGCGGTTTCTTGGAAGCAAAGATGGTCCGGGCGAGCAGTTTATGCGATGAAAGACTCGTTTTGTCCTTTCAGGTCCGCAAAGAAAGTAGAAGTAGGCAATAACGAGTGTCCAAAAGCGGCAGAGATGAAGTGAGCTTCTGGGATCTCTTGGCTGACAAGGCCAGTCCAGAATGCTTATTGTATATAGGCTAGGGGCCATGGGCTGGTGAGCATGTTTCACCGAGATGTGTGTGCATTCTACTAGTGACTCAGCCTTAGCTTCATGACAAGATTGCTATTCAGAGGTCAAGCAGAAGTAGATGGACCGAGATGCATGATTCTGCTCTACTGCACGCTGTAAGTTCGTAAGCATGTTTCACCCCGCTCCACCAGCCATGAGCTGCAACCCAAAGACCGCCATCGGCCTGCGCACGTGATTCTTCTCGCGCGTGTGTGGCTGTCTCATGGTTTTCGACTTGTGCAGTCAAAACCGACGGGAAGTGGGGCGCTTTGGGGATTTGCCTAAGGCCCGACGTGCGCACTTGTTTTCTTGCTGGCTTCTTGGCACGAAGATGTGCGCGCTTTACACTGGGAATCTGCTCAGGACATTCGGTGTCAGATGTTTACACTCTCCGCGGCCCGTAAGTTTCTGGCACCTCATTGAGGCCGGCCTGTTGTTCCTGGAAGTTGCTGTGTTCCTCAGCTTGCATCTTCGTGCCGGGTCACTCTTGGGTCAAGCAGAAATCTACCGAAATCGGTTCAGAAGATTGAAGCACCAGCTAGATGCAATCGCAAACTTCGTGAACAGCGTGCAACAGCTTTCTCAAGCCAGGAGATGTCGAAGAGCCAGTCGTCATCGTTGGCGACATGCCATAGCTCCACTCGAAGGGACGGTGTGGTCGGGGTCTGGGCGTGCTTGGGGTGCCTCCCCCTGGTGTGTGGTTTGGGGTTTCGGTCTGCTTAGACTGCCTCCCTCCGTGTCACGTGGTGGGGTTTGGGTTTGGATCTCGTCGTTGTCGTCATCGTCATCGTCATGTTCTGGCTCCCTTTTTAATCGACGAGTGTGTTCTGCTTTCCATCATCGGGAGGGGCACGATATTCGTGACAGTTCTCTCTGTGGTCAGGGAGAAGATGCTTGTGACAGGCTTGATGTACTATGTTTGCTATGTGCAACATGCGACTTTATTGCCTGTGCGGCCATTTTGGCTTAAGTTCTGTTTTTCTGTTGTGTTCTGTTGCTGTCTTTGCTGTAGCTGTTGGGTCGTTGCTGGTCATGTCGTTGGTTCCTCTGAGTCGCTTCGTGAAGAGGGCGAGGTCTCTGGCGCAGGCTGACACGGACAGCTTGACGGCAGCGTTGGAGGCCATCCCCCGTGAGGAGCTAAGGCGCATATATGTGACGGCCAAGGACATCTTGGAGGAGGATGCCTATAGCTACAGCTCTGAGGCCACTGTCGAGTCTCACATGGACACTGCCTTGAGGACACATGACCTGTTGGGCTTGGACGAGCCGGTGGTGAC